TATCTTGTCTCTTCATGGGCAATCTTTGTCATTCAGGGATCTGTAGGTGATTTGGGTCTACTCTAGTTTTGATGCTCATGTTCACAGTCTCTGATTAACTAAAGATATCAGTTAATATCTTTAGTTATTAATATACCCACATAAAGTTATGTGGGGATCACAGCGGGGCTACCTGCCTGCCTTCTCTGGGATGTTCATGAGGAACCAGTGGCTCGCATGCCTGGAGTTGGGAGGTCAGTCAGGGAGCCATGGAAGGCTGCTCCCTGCAGCTGGAACAGCTACCGCCTGACACCAATTCTCCCCACAGGTCATTCACTCTAGCATGGCTGAGCCTCTGGTACTGGGGGAAGGAAGCACCTTGTGAGGTGTCTTCTGGGTCAGACCCCTCTGGCCAAAGTGATGGTTTTGTTACCTAGGTCTGTCTGGGCTTGAATGCTGGGGTCCCTCCACCCCTTATCTCTCCTGCTTTGAGTCTGTAGTCCCTGGGTAGGCTGACGACATATGTGGGCTGTACCCAAGGGGCTACTGAGCCAAGGGGAGGGGACAACATGGGTGTTTTCCGGCTCCCGTGCCTGCCCAGAGATTTATCTGGTGCTGGCCGCTGGCCTCCTTACAGAAATACAGGACAGTGGGGCTGGGATTAAGCTGCTTCCTGGCTCTGCCACCTGGATTGATTAGGCCTGAATACACATCCAGCACAGTGCTTGGAACAGAGGAAGCCTCCTGTCCTCTCTAGCGGACTTAGAGGAGCCCATGTGGTGTAGTGGGTTACGAGTTGGGTTGATAACCAGAAATTCAGCAGTTTTAGCCACCAGCTGCTTCAAAGGTGAAAGATGAGGCTTTCTGCTCCTGTAAAGAGTTACAGTCTCATGCTGTCCTCTCCCTGGAGGACAACCCTGAAGATATAGCTCGGGGAGAGCGGCTAGTCTGACTTGCATACAGGGGGGCAAATCAAGAGGGAAGTGCAACAGACTAGTGATTAGAGCAAAGCCGCAAAGCTCCCTAAATATCCCGATGGTAGACTTTGACTCAGGCAGGGGTTGAGGTGGAGGGACACAGCACTTGGCACCCCATCTGAACTGGTTGCGAATTACTCACAAGAGAGTCACACTGAATGTCTAAAGGCATAACTGGGCAGGAGTGGGGCACTAGACTGCAGGAATAGCAATGGGGATGTTTAGGATGATCACCTTTCAGACAGGAACGCTGAAGACTAAAAGTTGTGTGAGTTGTTAGGTAAGCGGGACCCAGGATATGCAGCTCTGGAAGAAAGGGGGACTGGACTGTTGGTTTTTAACATGTCCTTCTCTCTATTTAACAGAGAGATACCATCTGCTCTATGCCAGGATCCTTGTGAGACTGTGACTATGTATTTTTTGTGTGTGTGTTTTCCTATACGAGATAGCCAGGATAGGCAATCTTATGGAGACAACGACTGGTCCAGAGGTTCCTGGGGGCCATGAGAGGGTGGGGAAGATGAGCAGGGAGCCACCAATGATGGGTAAAGGGAAACAATTGTTCTAAAATTGATGTTGAGAGTGTAGCTTTTCTGGTAGTGTTTGATCAATTGAATTTTATCTCAAAGGAATTACTGAGAGGTGAACGATGGGTAAATGTAATAGTGGGGAGGAAAAAGAAAAGAGGAAAGAAGAAAACATCTACATCTATCTATATATATATGTGTGTATTTCTTTATATAGGTATATATACAGTGAACCCTCGTTTATCGCGGTTAATCGGTTCTAGACCCTACTGTGATAAATGAAATTCCGCGAAGTAGGATTCCTTATTTGTAAATCAAATATTTTCGTAGTTAGAGCATAGAGGACATGAAAAAACACCCTTTAGTCACCATTACACTCGTATTACCCAATTTATTAAACGAAAAAGGGAAAATGCAGTAAAACATTTTGGACATTACAATTATCATTTATTATTTATTATATTATGAAGTACAATGGATGGAGCGAACGGAAGACTCATTCAAGTCGAAATGGCGTGCAACCTCCACGATTTTCTTGCCATCTTTGCGATATCCCAAAGTTTTACCTTTTCCTGCATGGTGAGCATCTTCCTCTGGCACTTATTTTTGTCAGAAGGCTTAGAAAAAGCAGCTCGTTTAGGAGCCATCATAGGGCTTAGATAAAATTTCTTAAAAATCGCAAACAATTACAGTACACTGTACAAAAGCAAAAATGCATGACACGTAGCTCCGATACATAGCGATGCAGACAGAAGCGTGTACAGTATGAGCCAATCAGTGGCAGTAATGACAGAACATGCGCTGTTACGCAAAAACCGCGATAGAGTGAAGCCGCGGAAGTCGAAGCGCGAAGTGGCGAGGGTTCACTGTGTGTGTATATATATATATATATATATATATATATATATATATGCAAATACACGAAGCAAGAAAGCAGATGAACTTTGGGCCTGTACTTAAATCTTACCTCAGTACAAGAACAGTTTGTTCTAATAATGCAGCTCTGTATGATACTCACCTTCCTGACATGCTGAAGACACAATGGGTGCATAAGCAAATGTGAAGAAAGGTGATGGTGCCTGGCTATTAAAAGATATAGCATCTGTAGTTAAACAAGCAGGTATCTAGCAGGCAAGCAAGCACCAAAGCCCACATGGAAGATGCACACCAACCTGTGTGATCATGAGGTATCAATGGAGAAAGGTATCAGAAGTTCAAAAACAAGCAACCAAATTGATGTGAAGGGGCGTGGATGTAGTAGAGACCCAAAACCCACCTGTAAGATAATTGGGCAGTCCCTCTCAGAAGGGCTGCACAGAAGGGATGGTAAATCCCGGGTGCAGTATGGCACTGATGAACCACATAACTGTCCTATAGTTCTCTAATATTTCCTGCCCTTACTATTTTGACTTTTGTTTACATCATTAAACAAATTTGCATGTGTTCCTCTATATTTAAGATCATTTGGTACATGAAAGTCAAGATAGATAACCCTTCAGAAACAGTAACAGGAGTAATGGTTCCCTGAGGGTATGGGAAGAGAGGGTGGGCAGGAAACGGGGGATGGGGAGCTGATAGCACTGAAGACTGTATAATTCCACTCCATAGGATTAAACAACAGAATTGTATGTGAATGGATACATACAATTGTGAATAGATGCCCCCCCCCAAGTAAAAACAACAAACTATTATATATATTTAAAAAAGAATAGGGTTCCTAGAGAGTATGGTAGGGGAGGGAGGGGACAGAGGGGAGCTGAAATCAAGGAGTTCAAGATGAAAGAATATGTTTTGAAACTGATTGTGGTAGCAATTGTATAATATTGCTTGATGTGAGTGAACAGTGGGATATTATGCTATCTGTAAGTACTCCCAATAAAACAATTAAAAAAAAAAGTTCCAGTCTCAGAAACCCACATGGTCATTTCTGCGCTGTCCTATAGGTCCATGTAAGTCAGACTCTATTCAATGGCAATGAGTTTTTGAGATAGTTGGCTTCCTTCTAGAACACTGTCTTCAATTCCTGCCTTATTTGCCCATCCATTAGTTACCTAAACTACAGTACTACAGTCTCAAGCTAACAGAACCACTGTTCCTGCTTCCTCCAAATCAAGTGAGCCCTGCATATCTTTAGTCACCATGCTTCTGGTTTGCACAGTCTGGCCCTCCCCTGGAGCAACTACCATGTAGATCAAGCGGGGCTAGGCAATAACCACAGAGACTCATGGTGTGCTTATGTAAAATTTAGTAGTGTGCAGAAACTTTCATTGAATTCCTTTGGTCAGTTTTTAGAGTGCTTAAATGATTGTTCTTTGACAGTCATATCTAATTTTTAACTGCTTTAAAAAGCAGTTTTATTGACATATAATTCATATATCATACAATTCAATATTTCAATATTATTAAAAAGAATTGTGCAGTCATCATCACAATCAATTTTAGGACATTTTCTTTTATTTCTTGTACTCATCATTGTTAATTGTTTTTTGACAGGATTTGTTAAAGCTCTTAGCTCCATCATGCAGTATGTGGGAATCAGCCCCACAGATAAATGGTCCTGAGGAGTGACTTGCACAATTATAGAAGACAAAGAAGACAAAAAGGGAGGAGGGTGGGGAGGGAGGACCGGGAGAAGCAAGAAAGCAGATAAGAGTCCAGAGTGTATTCAGCAATAGGGTTTTATAGTACTTGAGGCCTGCAATCTTCTTGTTATACATACACATTAAAATGGGCAATGTGTTCATCTTGAATGTCCCAAACCCTTAAGGAGAATACCTCAGAGAGAGTACCAGATATGCAAGAGCAAAGCTGTGTATGTGAGGAGCCAGGCATCTGTAGGAGACAGCTTTATATTAGCATTTCTGGGGGGTAGATGTGGTGTGGAGAAACATCCTTCCTAGAATATGTTCATTGTAGTACTTTCCCCATATTTTGGACCACAGAGGCTTGGCATATGCTGGGGGCAGGCCACATACAATCCTAGGTCCTCAGTTTCCCACAGCTGTACATTAATATTATGTAGAGATATTATGCATTTCTTTTTAAAAATCATTTTATTGGGGTCTCGTACGATTTTTATCACAATCCATATATACATCCATTGTGTCAAGCACATTTGTAAATTTGTTGCCATCATTATTCTCAAAAAAATTTTCCTTCTACTTGAAAACCCTTAATATCAGCTCCTCATTTTCCCCCCTCACTCCCCTCCCATGAACTCTTCATAATTCATAAATTCACATTATTTCATCATATCTTACACTGTTTGACATCTCCCCTCACCCACTTCTCTGTTGTCCATCCCCCAGGGAGGAGGTTATACATAGATTCTTGTAATCGGTTCCCGTTATTATGTATTTCTTATATCTCTTCTACAATAAACCTTTTTTACTCAATAGGAATAAAATTAGAATAAGTGAAATTATTTTAAATGTTATAAAACAAATATTATCTTCTAAGCTACTTATATCTTCAGTTTGCATCTGAAAACTAATCTGACTTCTTTTTGTGTGTACAGATGGGATTATGTGTAGCATGTGGAAGCATGGTGCCCATGAACACACCCATCTGTGTGGTGTGTGATGCTTCTCTTACCCTGCAGTTGCAGCCACAGGCCAGCCTCAATTTGAAGGTAAAGAAATGTAATTCTGTAAAGACATAGAAAATAATTTGAATAATTAAATGTCTTTAAATTAACAGTAGAACATATTAGTAATATGGATTCGGAGCACAAATTGTATAATAGCATATATATGTCATATAATAGCATATATATGTCGTATAAAGTTAACATATATATGTCATATAAACTTGAACATTGCAATGCATATTAACTTATAATCTTAAAGTGGCTTCATGATTCCCATTGCTTTGATTATATATACCTATTTTATATAAAACCAACTAAAGATCTTGAAAAAGTTAGACATCACAAATATTCAAACATATTTGTTAGACAAATTATACCAAAATATAAAATTTTTTTGAAAGAACATGTAACTATATTTTCTTCGTATTGAAATTGAATACCTCATTTATCCCTTGTGAAGATCACTGTAAGATAGAGTAGATTTAGTAAAGAAATTTGGGGGATAAAGCAAGAATTTTTAGAAGTGAGAAACATACATAATCTGTATGAACAGTCAGAATTTTAACACTCATAAATGCCTATGAAAACATCAGCCTACAATCATGAGACCATAACAAAATGGTGCCCAGCAACTAGCAAATACTCTGTGTAATATTACATTATAAGGTCCTGGATGGAGACAAATGTGGAATAAAACCCCAGATCCTGGGAGACCAGCGCTGCTGGTTGGAGAGACTTTGGTAAGCCCTACAGGCCATCTTCATGAGTCATCCTTCAGCTTTGGAGATGAAATCACTCCTGTGTTAGGGTAATCAACCATTTAAGATGAAAAGGTCAACATTTACCTAAGGACAAAGTACAGCAGGTTAGGAAAGGAGGGATGAAAGCAGATAACATGGGGGAGGAAGTGTTAGTATATTGAGGATGAGTTGAAACAAATGAGTATAAACTATTGAATGTAAAAACAATGAACTGTGGGGAGGGAGAGGGAAAAAATGAGGAACTGATACCAAGGGCTCAAGTAGAAAGCAAATGTTTTGAGAATGATGATGACAACAAATATACAATTGTGCTTGACACAATGGATGGATGGATGGATTATGATAAGAGTTGTACAGCCACCAATAAAATGATTTAAAAAACAAACAAACAATGATCTACTCTGTAAACTTTCATCTAATTCACAATTAAAAAAAAAAGATTATGTGGATTCTAAGTGGGAGAATATATTGAAGTTTATGAGGCAAAAGATAAGTTCTTGTTTCTTCTACCTTCAAACTTCCTGATGTGAAAAGTCAAAAAAAGTCTCAGACGCTGTAACCCTTTAGAAATGAAATTTGCTGATCTTTTATTAGATAACTCTTTTCAATCATAAGATACTTTAGAAGGTATCACTAGCCACCATACAGCCTAGACACCTGTTCTAGAACTATTACCTATACATGAGAGAGAAATCGGCTCCTCTCTTGTTTAGGCCACTGATATCTTGCACTTCAATCACAGCAAAACGTATTTTTACCAATAATACAGTTATGTAGAATGTTTGCGATACTATCATTTAAAACTCTATGGACTATTAAAACCAGGAGAACTAGGAGTAAAATCAGTTGTGAGTGAAGTTCAAAACATATTATGCTATGTTCAATATTAGAAGATATTTCAGTATTTGGAAATGTAGAGTTCTTCCCATTTTGAGAGAAAATATGGAGGTACAGACGTATACCAAGTTACTGTTTTTCCTGTAATTTATAAATCCTGTATTGAGCATAAATATAGGACTTCTCTGGTGATTAGTTCACCACTTGTCTGTCAGTTTGCCTACTGTTAGCTTGTGTATTGCTCCAGCAGGGTCAACCCAGTGAACAGGTTTCAGCGACCTTCCAGAGTGAGAAGAGACTACGAAGAGGGAATAGGCAGTCCAATTCAGATGAATTAGCTATGAGAAACCTTATGAATAGCAGAACATTGTCAGATATTCGTGAATGGTAGATTGTCAGATACAGTGCTGGAAGATCAGTCTTTCAGGCCAGAAGGCACTCAAAAGGAGGGAGGAAGAATTACATACCTTCTCAAAGTAGAGTTGATCGTAATGATGTGGGTGTAAAAAAGTCATTGGCACTTTCATTTGCTGAAGGGGCATGACTCAAAATGAGAAGAAACAGCTGAAAACATTAACAATTGGAACTTGGAATGTACGAAGTATGAATCTAGGAAAATTGGAAGTCCTCAAAAGTGAAATGGAGAGTTCTGGTAATAGTCGCCACATAGAATCCTTTCTGTGAAAATCCCAGAGTAACCAGAAGGAAAAGGGGCCATGCTTCTTGAACCTGGGTGCATGACCAGAATGCTAAGTGCACTTTGTTTTTGCTTGTTTGTTTTCCCCTCTTTTCCTTTCGGGGTAAAGTCAGAGTTCAGCAACCCAGACTCCCTTTCTGACTGCCTCCTCCCACCATTGCTGCAGCTGGTGCTGCTTTGGAGTGTTCTGCCCCCCCCCACCCCCCCACCCCTCCTCTGCCAGAAACTGATCACAAGCTCTGTCCCAGCTCACCCAGCCAAGTCCCTCACTCAGTTCGCTGGACCCTGGGTCTCCTATGTGGAAGACAGACTGTGTGGGAAGCCTGGAACAGACTTCCTCACAGTCCAAGTAACACAATTTTCCACTTTATTAGATACCCAGTTTCCCTTCACCCCCTTTCCCTGGGTGCTCCTTCCTTCCCTGCCCGCCTCCCTTTCCTACACCTGGTGGATGAACCCTTGTTCCGTTGGAACCAAAGAGATCACAGCCCTTCACCAAACCAGGAGCCTTTTGATGATCAGCTTTTACATTCTACTTTTATTGTAAATTTATCTGTATCCCTTTTTGGCTCTGAAGGCTGGTACAGAGGAGACCACACCCAGTCCAACCATATTCCTTTCTTTGGGAACTCACCAGTATCTCCTGTCCCTACCATTGCCTGGCAGCCCTGACTGCCACAGAGCTCATAACCTGCCACCTACCCTCCATCCCCTGCAACAACAGGGCCCTCTTGACCCACACACCCAAGCTCCGCGCCTCACCAGCACTACAAGGAAGGAATAATAATCGGAAAATACCTTCTTGGTGATGAAAATATAAAAGATGAAGATCACATGATAGAATTTTGCAAGACAGATTATTTATTCATCGCAAATATCTTTGTTCAACAACACAAACTGTGATTGCACATGTAGATTTCTTCAGATGGAACACACAGAAATCAAATTGATTACATTTTTGAGAAAAGACAGTCGAGAAGATCAATATCAACAGCTAAAGTCAGGCCTGGGACTGACGGAACAGACGATCAATTGCTTATATGTACAGTCAGGTTGAAGCTGAAGAAAATGAAAACAAGTCCATGAAAGCCAAAATATGACCTTGAGTATATCCCACCTAAATTTTGGGAACAGCTCAAGAACTGGTTTGATGCATTGACAGAACTCCTGATGAGCTGCGGGAAGACATCAGGAACATCATTTGAGAAGAAAGCAAAAGGTCATTAACAAGACAAAAAAAGAAGATGAAAGTATTTCAGAAGAGATTTTGCAAGTTTCTTTTAATTGTAGGGTAGTTAAGGCACATGGAAGAAATGATAAACTAAAAGAACTGAATAGAAATTTTCAAAGGGCAGCTTGAGAAGCAAATTAAAGTATTATAATGAAATTTGCAAAGGTTTTGAGTTAGAAAACTACAAAGGAAGAATAAACCGCATATTTTAAATTCAAGTTTTGAGTTGCAATAATGATAGATTCTATGAGCAGATTATTGAACAATGCAGGAAACATCCAAAGAAGTTGGAAAAAATATCCCCTGATATTTTAACATAAAGAACTGGTCAACAGTCAGCCATTTCAAGAAGTAGCATATGATCAAGGACCCATTGCACTGAAGGAAGATGGTCAGGCTGCTTTGAAGGCATAGCTGAAAACAAGGCTCCAGGAATCGATGGAATACCAACGGAAACTGAAATGCTTCAACAAGCTGATGAAGCACTGCAAGCACTCATACATCTATGCCAAGAAATTTGGAAGGCAGCTGTCTGGACAACCAGTTGGAAGTGATCCATATTTGTATGTATTCTAAAGAAAGGTGATCCAACAGAATACACAAATTATAGAACAATATCATTGATATCACATGCAAGAAAAATTTTGCTGAAGATCATTCAAAAAGTTGAAGCAGGGAGTTTCCAGAGAGTCAGCTGGACTCAGAAGACATGGAACAAGGACATTACTGAAGATCTTGGCTGAAAGCAGAGAATATCAGAAATATGTTTACTTGTGTCTTATTGAATATGCTAAGGCATTCAACTATGTAGATCAAAACAACCTATGGGTAGCTTAGAGAAGAATGAGAATTCCAGACCATATAATTGTGCACGTGTAGTTGTACAAACAGAACCAGGGAATAAAGTCAAAGAAGGTGTGTGACAGAGTTATATCTTCTCACCATGATTACTCAATCTGTATGCTGAGCAAATAATCAGAGAAATTGGTTTATATGAAGAATGTGATATCAGGATCAAAGGAAGCCTTATTAATGACTTGTGATATGCAGATGATTCAGTCTTGCTTGCTGAATGAGAATGACTTGAAACACTTGCTGATGAGGATCAGGATTGCAGCTTTCAGTATGGATTACAACTCAATGAAAAGAAAACACAAATCCTCACAACTGTACCAATAGGTAACATCATTATAAAAGAAACTAGATTGGGGCTATCAAGAATTTTATCTTGCTTGGATCCATAATCAGTGCTCATGGAAGCAGCAGTCATGAGATCAAATGACACATTGCATTGGTTAAATCTGCACAAGACATCTTTTAAAATGTTGAAAGCAAAGATTTCACTTTGAGGACTAAGGTGCCCCTGACCCAAGCCATGGTATTTTCAATTACCTCATATGTATATGAAAGTGGGACATTGAGTAAATTGAATAAAGATGACCACATAAGAATGATACATTTGAATAATGGTGCTAGCAAAGAATATTGAAAGTGCCATGGACTGCCACAGAAGAAACAAATATATCTTGGAAGGAGTTCTTAGGACGGCAAGACTACACCTCATGTACATTGGACATGGTATCAGGAGAGTTAGGTCCCTGGAGAAAGGACACCATGCTTGATAAAGGAGAGGGGCAGTGAAAAAAAGGAAGATCCTCAACAAGATGAACTGACGTGTGACTGCAACACTAGGCTTAAACATGACAGCAGTTTTGAAGATGGCACAGGAATGTGTCATTCTTTTGTGCGTAGGGTTACTGTGAACTGGAACGGACCCGATGGCATCTAACGGCAGTAATGATGGTTACTAGGAATCCTATGCTGCAATGGCTAAGCAGAGCAGCATCTGCTGCGAACTGAAAGGTTTGCAGTTTGAATCCACCTATTTGTTCAATAGGCTTTATCCCAGTGACTTGAGTCGTTTAAAACTAAACTGTTTAGTTTAATTTATTAATTTATTTATTTTATAGGTTCATTGGCACATAATCCACATATCATGCAATTCAGTAGTTTAATCATATCAAGAAGAATTGTACAATCATAACCCCAATCAATTTTAGAACATTTTCTTTTTCTTTTTTATGGTTAAATTGCTTTTAAAATGAGTTGTGCAATCACAATCAGTTCTAGCGCTCCCTCCCCCCTCCCACATACATTGTTTGCTCCACCAACCCCATCACCCTCCCTATCTTCCTGCCTCCCCTGTAAATCCTTGCCTCAGTGATTATCTCTATGCATCTACTCCTGTGCTTCACAAACTGGAAAACCAAACAAATAATAAAAAACAGAAACAATAAACTACTTAGTTTTAAACTTAAAAAAAAAAACTTATCGGAGGCTCTTACAACTCTTGTTACAATCCATATATCATTTGTATCCTACATATTTGTACAAAAATCCCATTGTTCTTTTCTATACATTTATTTTCCATTGAGCCCTTGGATCAGCTCTTCCTTTTTTCCCCCTTCCTTCCCTGCACCCCACCCCATTTAAAACTGTTTAAACAACTAACTTAGTTATTTAAAACAGTTCAGCTAGATAATACTATGTAAACTCTGTGATTGAGATGCAAAAGTATGAATTTTTTAAGAAG